TTGTTTTGCTTTGCTTCCAAGTGTGGTTCTTGCTCTACCTATTAAGCTGTATTTCCCTCAACCCATGAGGTTTTTTCAGTTTAACCCTTCTGATTTTCTCCTCCATCCTGCTGGGAGTGAGTGAGGGAGCAGCTGTACGGCGCTGAACTCCCTACTGGGGTTAAACCACAACAATTTTCCATACTAAAGGAATTTAAAAACTAATTACTGTGTTTGAAATGGGCTGATTTAAATAAAAGTGAGCAGGAGATGGGAGCAAGAACAGTGGTTTAGATCTGAAAAAGAACTTCTGCATGTAATTTCCACTGATGTCAACACATGCACATTTCCCATTTTGTACTAAGGAGCAGGGTTGCTAAATCCAAGTATATTCTGAGAAATTCCCACTGATCACGGTATTAGAAATGATGCCATCCAGAAAAATTGTCTCAAATCAAGTATGAGGGTGTAAGGCTCTGTTCAAGAACCAAACTGGAAAACTACAGTATAATAACCAATTGACATTTCATTATAACCTGTTTCATTTACCTATCTACTGACTCCATGCTTACATGCCTTCCAATTCACTTTCATATTGCTGATAGGCCACCTTATTTCACACTGGCCTCTCCTGGTAGCACAGGCTCCTTTTTGAAGCATAGCGCTCTTCACCCTATGCTTCAAGTCCCTTCTCATAACCCTCTGTTGCCATTCTTTCCTATGCCAGCTCCTTGACAAAATAAAGCTATTAATAGGAAATTTTGCAGACAGGCATGACAAACATTAAAAATCCAGAAACCTTTGTTGATGCCTTTTTTCATAAGGTAGGATTCAAAATTTACTGAAATTTATTACTTTTTCCATCACCTACTTACTTTTGCTTCAGACTTCAGAAGCATATATGTACAGATATGCATAAATACCAGACTATGCGATACCAGTTGGAGCAGTTTTTTTATGAAGTACTGATTTACCAGCTCTTGTGGATCATCTCCAGGGTCCATTGATATCAGTGGAATGACACCATGTGTACCAGGTGCAACAGCAGCTCTAAGAAAGCTTTGCCTCAGAAAACTCAATATATATACATATATATTTAATTAATTCAGCAGTTGGCATAATTTTCACAAGCCAGTTTGCCGTTCCAGTTTCCAGAGTATTACAGCTGCTTGGATAATAGCATACTAACAGCTGTCTACAAATGGCATATAAAATATAAAATATGCCATTTGTAGACAGCTGTAGAATATAAAAATCCCAACACATTAAGGACAGCTACACATGTAATTACTGCATATGTTTATAGAAGTCTGCTGATAGAAAAATATTTGTATTGATGAAGAAAAATCACCTATTAAGAGAGAAGTAAAACCAAAGACTTTTAACTCCTACTCCCCTAGGCGCTTTTACTGACTCAGTTAATGGTCATAGCCCTGCCTTCTCACCGCACATGCTGAATGTAGATACCTGCAAAAGACAGCACATAAGTCGGGTCTCACTGTATAACTGTCATAACATTGCTTCTCTGCAGAAAGTGGCATCTGAGATTTATAGCCATAGCTGTACAGCAAAATGATCTTAGAGATAGAAGATGAGGGCACAGCCTATTAAAATAGATAGACACACTAAAAGTGAGGGGATATTTCATCCTTAGGTAAGGAAATATATAGTCTGTAATTTAGGTGGGTTGAACTCCAGATTAGGACACCTAGGATTAAATGTTTGCATGGGAATTATATGTCAAAGCTGCCATGGAGCTCTGGAGCTCTGGGGCCCATTCATTTCAGAAGGCTAGCACCTTTCCAGATCCCCTGGGAAGCATACACAGATCTCAGCTGTCATAATCAAAGAACTGGAGTGTCTCACAAACCTTCAGTTGTTTTTGCCAACTCAGTATGGCCATCTTACATGCCCTATGAATTTGCATAAAGTACCTATTTGTAGGCAGAGGAACCGTACTCCCCACTGACACTCAGTGACATTTAGGGTACAATTCTGATTTAAGACATGTCTAATTCACTGAGTGAAGTGAACAACTCTGGGATCTATTGACTCTGTTGTCTGGAAGAGGAGTAAATACATCTTGTTCAACTACAAGCAGATTCTTAAAGTAGATGAAGTGTTCTGAACTTCAGTGCTAGGGGCAGACTTTGATTCAGTTGTCCATACACGGTTATAAAATGCCATTTGAGAAGACGTATCACAAAGACTGATAAATATGACACTGGACCTACCTTTCTGAGCAACAGCTGGAGGCCATGTAAATTATCCTAAGGCATCTAAAACGGCTCAAAACAGTTTTCTTTCTGTGAGCAACAAACTAAGCCCTTTTAACAGCATCTTAATAATTATAGAATCATAGAATAATTAGGGTTGGAAAGGACCTTAAGATCATTAAAGTTCCAATCCCCCTGCCATGGGCAGGGACAACTCGCACTAAACCATCTCACCCAAGGTCTCATCCAACCTGGCCTTGAACACTGACAGGGATTGGATGAGGCCTTGGGTAATATGGTTTAGGTGTCCCTGCCCATGGCAGGGGGGTTGGAACTTGATGATCTTAAGGTCCTTTCCAACCCTAACTATTCTATGACTCTATGATTCTATGATTCACAACCTCCCTGGGCAACCCATTCCAGTGCCTCACCACCCTAGCAGGAAAGAATTTCCTCCTTATATCCAATCTTATTAATCATACTTTTAAGATAATGTGGCTTGTTATTAACATTGCCATAGTTTATGGAAGCTTCAGAAAATTGTTAAACATCTTACCACTTAGAATAACAGTGCTTGTTTACATAAAATCAGTTAAGAAAGATCACTTCTACTTCAGTCAGTCTTTTAAGCAACCTTTCATTTTATGGTGCTCTCCTCTAACAATGGACCTTTTTGCTCCAAACCTGGTTTTATAAGTTAAATCTTTTACATGTTTAAGTTTCTGCTTATGATAATTGTACTCAAAAAGGAGGTGACTGCTGTGTGGCTAAATATCATATTTAGGTTTCTCTCCTAATTTTCTTCCTGAAAATGTAAATATTATGTAAATATTCCTTAAAAGCAATCTCTCAGTAATTATATTGTACCTTTAAACTAAAGATAATAATTTCAAAACTTTAATGACAGGTCTCTGAGTTAAATAAATACTACATTATGAAGAAAGCTAAGCTTAAATATGAAGTAAAATACTGATGTTTTACTGAAAGTCACAAATGGACGTCTGCACAAATGATCAGGGTTTTCGCATCCATCTCTAAAACCTGTGGGATCTGCAGGCTGTGTAATACAGTGGACCACTAATGACATGGACCAGAATCCCTGAATCCCTTCATGATAGGCACCATAAAAACACTGAGTAAAAAACCAGCTCTGAACCTAAACAATAAATGGGAATTATGTGCATAAAAATCCAGAGAGGTTTCAGTACAGGTAAGGCTTTTGAGTTAAGCAATAAAGGATTGTCAAAGAAAGAATCAAAGGAATAGTTACAGGCAAGAGAAAGAATAAGAAATACACATTTTACCTCTACATCTAGAACTAAGTACAAAACAAGATCAGGTTGGTTTAGTTACCTAAAGGGTACAGAAGTTCAACTTAGGTTTGCCTGAAGAAGGGTGACAAATTAGGCACATTGGTTTGACATATATGAAGTAATTAAGTTTTATATTAGTGATTATATAAGAGATTTGCTCTGGCATTAGAGTTATGCTCAAAATGAGATTCCCCCTCAAAGCTCCAAGAACATCCTTGCTTCCTTCTAACCTAATACCTAAAATGGCAGCAAGATTTATCCCTAATAGAATGGCCATGTTCTCTTCCTTAATTTCTTCAAAGCTATGAAAAATGTTGTCACTGAAGTTCTCTTATTTTTGCTAAGTGTATAGAAAATTGGGCGTTATATTTCTTTTGTCAAATATGTGTATTCCATTGTTTTTAATTAATCTGCTATTTTCTACATATATTGTTTTGTGCAAACATTTTCATTACCAACTTATTAAAAGTACTCTGTTTTTATGGAACTGGTTCCTTTACTTCTTCAGTTCCATGCTCTGTGAGAATTAACAGTGTGTTTGACATGTCTGAAAATCAGGGCTATTCAGATGTGTATTACAAAGTCTATCCTAAGACAATTCATCCAAAGTCAATCAATAAAGAAATTTACAGTTATTGCCATTCACACTTTTTTCCCTAAAATTTCCTGTGCATTATAGATTCAGATTCAGGTCTGTATCTGCTAGGGCTTGCATCCCAAAAAATCACGTGTCTTGATTTCCATTTATCTACAAATATATGTGGAAAGGTTGTTTTTCAAAGTAATAATGAAATGCAAAGGGAGTAGAGAAATGCCACGAGAGAAAGCTGTACTTCAAATCTTACTGACCTAATTTAAATAATATGCATAATTGAAAAGTATAAGCCACAGTTACTCACCTACGATGAGTAAGGAAGCTACCACTGACATGTCCTGAGCCATCACATCCTGGGGTTGGACATGACATTCCTTCCGTCTTCACTGACTTCCAAGAGAACTGTGAGCCATTTAGGTACCCGTCCTTTTGCCTTTTGGCAGCTAGAGGACACCCTGATGCACTGCGATGGGATGCATATTTTCCAGTTATATGACCCTGACCATCACAACCAGGAACTGGACATCTGGATAGCAGATAGATGAGATAAACTTTATTGTCTTGCCATCATATACCTGGTAGCCTCTACAACAAAGTCAAAATAAACCCGACATGAAAAGAAAAGAACAATCATGCACTGTGGTCTTAAAAATAGTTAAGATACCCTTTAGTGGGTAAAATTATAAGCAGAACTGTACTAATATGACAAAAATATATTCTTTGAAACACTATGAGGAGGTTAACTGGTAGACAAACTCACGGCTTTGTTGATTTTGTGAATTGCAATAAGAGGACTGAGATATATATTTGAATTGCAGGCGTTCATTACACTAAATATCACACTGGAATTGAAATGTTGGCTACTGAGCTCCACTCAGCAGGGAAATTGCCCATAAAAACTCTGTAAGCATAAAATCCTACTTAGTATAATCCTTGGTACATTTTATTTATGTGCATGGAATCTAAAAAAGACTTGTCTGAAGTCATGAAAATGTTTTAACAGTTAGGTATGAAGTGATCATAACACCTCATCAGAAATGCTGAGCACCTTTAACCACTCTCTGAATAGGAAGGATTAAAACGAACTATGTGTTACAGCCTAGAGATATCAATGAAAGCAGCTCTGTCTTCATTGGATGGTTTTTCTTACTTAGGAATTCCCTCATATATTCCCCCTGTATACTTCTAAAAACAAATGACCAGGATTAGAAGGTTAGAAGTTAGAATCTTCAAAGTGAAATGTTTAAATGAGATAATGTTTTCTTTTCGTATGCCATTATGGAACACATATCAAAACTGGGCTGGTTACTTCACTGTTTGTCCTACACTAAAATATTGCTGCAACTCTCCACTAAGGATCCAGTCTTGAATGGTGTAAGCAGTCACTAAATCCACTGAGTTCAGTGGCTGCTGATACCAGAGCACCTTGCAAGAAGAAACTAAAAAACCTATAGGTAGGCATTTGTTCCACATGTAAACTGCATAGACAGCCAGATTTGTTGCAGCAATCTCATATGAACACTCAACTACTTTATTTAGCATGTATGGTTTGTCTATAGCATGCAAACACTTTTAAGGGGATTTATTCTAGGAGAAAAAGATCTAGATAATTTTTTAACTTCATGTGAAAAACATATTTTAAACTTTCAAAATTATAGAAGATTGTGCCCTTGGCTGAATATTATATCCTTTGCTGACTAAATCAGCACAGATCCTTGATTTGCAGTTCACTCACAAAAATCAGTGGGCCATCTGCTCTTGGATAACTATCATGCAGTAACATTTATGCTCTTATAAAAAGCTGAAGATATATATGACATTATAAAACACATGAAGGCCCTTTGACAATATTTGTGCTCACCTAATTGGCTCTTGGTCTTCTTTGTCTTCCTTGCTTTGTGCTATCCTGATTCCACTTTTCTTTGCTCGCGGACAACCTGAAAGACTGAGTGAAAGAAAACTATTTAAAACGCAATTTCTCATTCTTGGGTACAGTTTACAAGGGATATGTTTTCTATCTGAATACCAGGCAGAATAGGTAATCCTGCCCAGTTTCCAAAATCAGAGCTCCAGTAGTTTAAATAAGGAGAGCTGCAGAATGCAACCACAAGGGGGAATCCGCGTATCTCGGTTTGTGATGCCAAACAGGACTGCAGGCACTGTGCATATCACACGCACAGGAATCCCTGGGGAGCCAGGGAAAGCAGTTCTTCCTAATAATCCCTCCAGCTGACTCAGCAGCAGCAGCGACAGCTTTGGAAGGAATAGAAGCCAGTGCTTCAGGGCTGACAGACAGTATGTCTTCTGTATCTCTGAGAGGCACAGAAGAATAGGCTCAGAAAACAGGAGTTCTTGGATCTGTTGGTAGGACTAAAAATTTCTCCAGGAAGCACATCAGAAATGCTATCAAACCTTCCCAAACATCTTGGAAGAATCCTATAGGATGGTTGAATAAAAACATGGCAGTGCTTAGAGCTGTACAGTGCCTTCGTGTGAAAAGAGTTTAAGTGCTCACAACTCACAAAAAGATTTGATAAAATCAAATTGTATGTTAGCTTAAGCAATGTTACATTTAAATAGACACAGAGAATGCTGGGTTTAACTACACAAGACAGAAAATATATATCTATTCCAAGATTTTATAAGCTCAGATTTCCCTTTGCGTATGAAGAATTCATTATAGAAACTATTTAGTAAACTTGACAATGACTTTAATGGATACTTAAAAATTTTAAGTAGTTTCTAAGGACATGAATATGTCTACCAAAAAAATCACGCTTTGTCCTCTACTTAAATGTGACTTCCATCTTAACATCAACATTAAAAAAGAAATTCATCAATAGAACACCACCTTCAAAAGTATTCAGATGAGAGACAAAGTAGTGTCACCAAAGAAAAATATCCATAGAGAAAGAAACAAAAATAGAAGATTATGTTTTTGTTTCAACATAACAAAGGGTACTTCAGCATATATAGTAGGTCCTGTCTTCAGGAAGAAGAGACAGAAATAGTGGTAGCAAAATTTTCAGTTATTTTGCCTTGTAAAGGCCAGTGAGGACTGGGAGGAACAAGTAGAGAAAAGGGTGATGCTATCACAGACAGAATTCTGTGCTGGTCAATGAAAATAGAAATAGAGTTTACATGCTGCAAAGTCATAAGCAAGTCAAAGTAAGGGAGGAATGCCAGCACAAGATATTGGACATAGTGTATTACCTAACAAATCCTAGTGAGATGGCATGGCTATACGTGCAGTGGTAAATGGAAGGGACCTAAAACTCCTGTTCTGATCCAGGACCAGCAAGCTCTTGGATTGAAACAGTACGTCTATTCAGCTAAATTCTTCTTCTGGTAAAGCAGAATAGCTACAGCCATATTGCTTGTAGAGAGTGATCTGGACCCATGCTGAGCTCCAAATCATATCTGAGAATTCCCTAGGAAAGTTTCAGTGGCCCAGGGTTAGTAACATGCCAGGGGACACAGTAACAATTTAATAGTGTAGGCATCTGTATGCTGATGCTTGGACCTGAGCTCTCATCCCATTTCATTTAGACGCAGCTGATCATTTTCCTTTTTAAAACAAATTGCTGTTTATTAGAACTTGCACAGCACACACCAAAGTACCATAGTTCCTTGTGTACAAAATAAACCTGAGAAAGCCTATGCCACTTAAATATAGTTTTATTTGAAGACAGTAATATCATAATCTGTAAGAAGACAGAGGTAGGATAAACAGAGTCTAAGTGATTTAAAATAAAAGGAAGCCGGCTCTGGCTTAAGGGGGCAGTTTGGGAACAGATTGGTTCACTGCTTCCCATACAACCTGGAGTGCAGGAAGTGAAGGGGAAAGGACAGGAATTACAGATATCCCTGGCTTATCTGTGAGCCTAGGCATACTCACAGTGTGAAAATAATCAGGTTTTGCCTCTGAAAGCTAAACAGTTACTAGAAATGCTTCAGAAAGCAATACTTTTTTTTAGTAGGTGTACAGATGGGTATGCTTGTAGATGATGACATTTTCATAACAAAACCTGAATGAAGAATTTCTGCCTTGATTTAGTGCTTTCTACATATTAAGCCAATTTAATTATCACCTACTTATTGGTATTTTGGTGCATCACCTTTTTTGCAGTAGGTCTTTCTATTTTGGCACTATGATTTATTAGAAAATTTTAAGACCATTCAGGTCCTCTAAACAGACATTTTTCAACAGACAGCTTCTGAGATTATGATTAACTCATTTTTTCTCTGACAGCAGATTCACCAGGAAAACATATGTCAAGGATGAGCCTTTGCTTTATTTTTTTTTTTATTCTGTAATAACCAAAAGCTATTACAAAGTAAACATATTACTTTGTTTTTTGTATCAGTTTAATTTCTTATATATGAAGATAAAATACAACAAGGGAAACTCAACACCAGTATCTGCTGATGTAAATTTCTGCACACACTGAATGGGTGTTGGAACTGCAGAGCTAGGGCAGAGTTAAACATGCCTTCATGTGTGCTTGCTGTTGAGCAGCCATTTTAAATACAGATGATACCCAGGCATCTTGGCAGCCATTTAGGAGAGAAGTTTGTCATTCCCTTCCTTCTGAACCGAAAGGGTTGTAAGTGATGGTACAGAATACGAGAAAAAATGCTAACTCAGATGCTAACTGTCAGTGTGGGAATTAGGAAGCTTAACTGTGAACATGCTGTGAGGTCTTTCATACTTAACAGCTCCAGATTTAGGCTACTGGTTTGCATGCAATTTGCCAGCCTCAGAAATGGCCTTGACAGATATCATGACCTAAACACTGCAGGGCTGGCTCTGTGCAAATATGACAGGTCTCCTGGGAACACTGGTGGTTTATGCAAAGACATCACTCCTTCAGTGTCAGTGCCCCTGTGAACGCAGGCTGCCAAGGTGGCCTTTCGGAACAGAAACAAAGGAATTATGTGGTCAACATAGACATGGTGGCATTTCAAAAGTTTGAATGCTCTAAATCTCAATGGACTGGGCAAATTCCACATCATTCAGTTTTGCAGAATTACTTTTTATATCTTTATGTGTACTGAGTACGCTGCAAAATCAAATGAAAACTTGGTCCACCACTCATACAAAAATGTGAGATTTTGCAGATGAAGGTAGGCAAGCTCATGGTCTGGTCCTGCAGTGGTTAAGAGACAGTGCCTAGGGAAAGGGTTTAAAAAACAGGCTGACATGCAGTGATTCTCCCCTGTGAACCTTGCCAGCTTTTAGGTTTCCTATTTTTGACACTTTGCCTTCTGCATCTTCACTGTCCTGCCTGTTTCTGGTTAAATACATGAACAGATACATAAACAGGTTCCTGAATACCCAAGTCAGGCACAGCTTCACTGCTGGGAGAGTTGAGAGCTGATAAATCCACATAGTTAAACGTAGTTCTAAATTTGACCTTAAATCCCTTTGGAAGTGTGATATAATCTTCTACATCTGTAACTGCTTTTAAAATGTTTACATCTTCTCCTTTATACTGTTACTTGTACTTTTTATGTTTAACTGTGCATTACAGAAATTGTTACCGTGATCTTTCATTTTTACCGCATGTAAAGGTGTGGCACATTCCCGATCTCTATGTTATTCGTGTTTTGACTTTAAACTGTTTGTTGCTTTTACTGGGAATACACTTAACTTCTGTATTGATTAGTTATAGCCAATTGTAAAAGTGAAGCAAGCGAATATCCAGACTCAACAGTGTAAGTACACATGGGATTAAAGACCCTTTACTAACAAAAGAGAGGCGAGTTATGTTATTATTTGTTGACTTAAGGAGTGGATAGCTCTCTACAAAATATGGTGAAACTCTGCTCTACTGATTTATAGTTCTTATATAGCCACAAGTGAATTGCTAATTACAGCATTTGCTACATTACCTCTATAATACTACCACCATAATTGATTTTGGGGTATAAAAAATACCCTAATTAGTAAGTGTGAAGCTTTCTTTGGCCCTTGGTAAGAATCAAAGTTATAATTTAGGCAGTTAAAGTAACAGCTTTCATCCACAAATTTCTTTCCATTCTTTTGGCTTGATATAGTAAGGTACAGTGTGTTGTGATTTAAAACCAAGCCAAGCTTTATTATGAAATGTACCAACAAGACTGGTGCATATTAGATGAAAGAGTTACTTTTTCCCTCTGATTAAAGCCAGTAAGGCTTTGGCTGGGAGAGGAGGTAAAGAACTAGGTCTATTTTTGCATTTCAAGAAATACACAGGGAGTCTGGAAGAGACTGACAGGAATAACCAGGAAATAAAATTTGTGGGGGAAAAAAATCCCAGCAGAAACTTATAAATGTTAAATTGCTTCCCTGGGCTACCAGAGATGGTAGAAAACCTGGATTAATTTTCTACAAAGATTTTACTAGATATTAGCAAAAATCTTCCTATCTAATTGAGTAGTGAGCCATGCTGAGAAATGTTATTCATTGGTT